GCGAGTATGGTAGTTCAAATTATAACAGATAGAATAGATACACTAGAATAGGTACAAGTACGTATTATATATAATATATAATATACTTGTACTATTATCTATTCCATTTTTATAATAACTATAGAGTTTCTTGAATAAAAATTTATGTAATTTATAAAATGTAAAAATATAATGTTTCGTGATTAAGTTATAATACTTCTTTAATATAAAAAAATTACATATATAGGTACACATAAATAAAATTGAATTGTTTGTCTACAATATTGAAATAACTGGTTTTTTTTTAAGCTCAGGAGGTTATTTGCATGCTGTTAAGACATAAACAAGCATTTTTTTTTTAATTTTTATTTGTCTAATCTTTAGAATGGCTGAACCGATTGTGATGAAACTTTACGAACTATACAAAGCATTGCCAAGAGGGATTCTGGGCTTTATTTTATTAACTTTATTCGAATTTTTTTTTCACTTTTTATTTTAAATAACGACACATTAATAGATCCTGTCCAGGCTAAGCGAGAGCCTGTCGCAAGGTGGTAATAATATAATAATCAATTTTTATATACAAGAAAGGGTTACACATTCAACAAACAAGCACACAGTCTACCAGTCTACAATCACGTGGCTCATAGATCACAGACATATTTACCCTTAATTAAAACCAAAATTTTCTCAAGATATGACAACAAAAATATTTAGGTTAGAAAAACGTCCTACATTTTACTAAGTAATTTTGTTGATACGAGATTCTTTTGCAAAAGGTATTTGAAAATGTGACATACCGTTAGACTCGGCTCTGTGACTATTGGGGGTCGGGGCAATTTAGCTTTTACTAAAATTGCAAGCTCGTATGAATTCGTGTGTATTTTACGAAATCTGAGAGAAAGCACTTTAAAGCGGTGTCATTATTTTACTATTACATTTATTTTTCAATAAAATAAGAAGGTTCTATATTCGACGTGTATGTTTTTTTTTGGATGTTCACCAATTTTTCGAAAATGGCTGAACCGATTTTAGTGGTTATTTTTTTATTATATAGGTTATACTTCAGAGGTGATATCAAAAAGTATACTAGGGTTTATTTTTAATTAATTTTTAATTACCGGATACCAACCAGGTGGTAGTACGCAGCCTCCTTATTTATTGAATTTAGTATGTATTTTTTAATTTCAAAGGGTATAATCCTTGGTAGGATCATGCTCTTACGCGAGGATTTGTAGTCTATTAAATTTGCCCTTTGTAGCAACAAGCGCAGTATACGAGGTTTACTATGGGATTAGCAGTTGATCGCACGTCTCTTTTTTTATAAAATAAGGGTGACAAACAAGCACACAATATACCTGATGAAAAGTGGATGATGCGGTCTATGGGCCACAGCATCCACTTCTATCCTATCGATTAAGAATGAAAATGCAGATTTGTTGTCATCAGCAGCAGCAGCTTCGGGTTAAAATTTAGAATCGTTTAGCAGGAATTTGCCTCCAAATGATATTTAAAAAAATAAAATAAAATCAAGTTTAAAATCATGAAAGAATTAAACTATTTTCCTCATTATAGGTTAAAAACTCAGATTAACTATAATTAATATAAATAACAAAGAATATTTTGAAGAACAATTTTAGTTTTTACAATTGAAGTATCGGTAGTAAATTTTTAAAAATAGGAAAAATATAAATAAAACTAAATCACCAGTTATGGACAACTAGGATCCAGTTGTCCACACCCAGTTATCAACAGTTACCAGTCATCGACGTCCCAGTGATCAACGGTTACCAATTATCGACATCCAGTCATCATCAAAGAAATGTAATGCAGCAGCTTGCAAGCGATTTGGGATTTTGTAACGAGCAAAGAATTGAAATACGATTTATGCAATTATAATCATTCATTTATACAATAAACGGTCCGAAATTTAACAGCTACACAAACAAAAACTACTCATTCAAAATGAGTGAAAACAAAAAAAATCTTATTAAATTGTGGAAGCTCTAACAGACTCAGATTGTTGGTTTGGCACAAAGCGCTTCTTTCGAAGCTCCTTTCCTATGGGCTTCCCGATAAATTATGCAATTGGATCACCAGCTTTCTTGCAGATCGGAGCATCAAGGTCGTTGTAGACGGTGCATGCTCTGACTACAAGCCTATTAACGCTTGTGTTCCACAAGGCTACGTGCTATCACCGACGCTGTTTCTTCTGCTTATCAATGATATGTTGCAAGCCGGTAGCATTCATCGCTATGGGGATGACAGCACTGGTGATGATCTATACACCGGCCGTGCCAATATTTCTAGGGAAAACTTCACCGAGTACCGGAACAAACTTGTGTCTGAAGTCGAGTCTTTGCAGGACAAAGTCTCAGATTGGGGACGACTAAATCTAATCTATCTAATCTAATCCAGTTAAATCCTCAGAAGACACAATTTTGCGCGTTTACCGCTAAAAAGAACCCCTTTGTCGTATCTCCTCAGTTTCAAGGTACTCCCCTTGTTGCCTCAGCCAGTATCGGAATCCTCGGCGTCGACATATCGAGTGACGTGCAGTTTCGTGGTCACTTGCAATAGAAGGCCAAATTGGCCTCTAAAAAGCTTGGCGTGCTCTACAGAGCGGGACAGTATTTCATGCCAGCTCAACGCCTGCAACTTTACAAGGCGCAGGTTCGGCCTCACATGGAATACTGTTCCCATCTCTGGGCTGGAGCTCCCCAGTGCCAGCTCCTTCCACTTGACCGCATCCAGCGTAGAGCGGCTCGAATCGTCGACGACCGAGTCCTTTCCGATCGGCTCGACTCATTGACACTGCGAAGAGATGTTGCATCTCTTTGCATTTTCTTTCGCATTTATTATGTGGAGAGCTCTGAGGAATTGTTCGGATTAATCCCAGCCGCCAAATTTCACGAACGCACATCGCGGCAGAACTCCCGATACCATTCCACACCATCTGGATGATTGGCGGTCCATCACTGTGCGATTTAGAAGATGTTTTCTTCCTCGTACAACTTCCTTGTGGAATAGCTTACCACCAGCGATTTTTCCGGACCGATACGACTTAGGGACCTTCAAGAAAAGAGCCTACTCCTTTTTAAAAGTCCGGCAATGCATCTACAATTCCCCTGGTGTTGCGGTTGCTCATGGGCGGCGGTAGTCACTTACCATCAGGTGAGCCTCATGCTTTTTTGCCTCCTCTCCTATAAAAAAAAAATTCTTAAATCAAACATTTCCTTAATTTTAAAGAAACACACAGGTATTAATCAATCTTTTCAATGACTTGGTTCTCTCTGTAGCATATTTTGTCAGGTTTATCAGGCCACCTGAAAGGATTTCCCGTCGACAAAATCATTGTGCTAACTTTGTACTGGTTTTCATTACATTTTTTACCCTAACAGGTAACATTGCTAGGAGGAAGTGTGTTTATCCCAACAATACCTCTGATCCCATCCAATTTGAAACCTTTTGAATCTAAAAGCCAGCAATTATTACGTTGTTTAGTTCTGATCTGAACTGACCTACTGCGAGTTGAAAAAATACACATTACAACCTAGAAGAATCTTTATTAAATATTATACATTTTAAAACTTAACCACCCTCATATAAGAAGTAATAAAAGTATGACCGTCATAAAAATAAATGGTTTTCATAACCTTATTACGGCAACATAAAACATTTTCCAGACCTCACTAACACTTATGATAGCACAGATAAGGTACTTCAAACAATAATAAAGTTAGTATAACGACCATTTCAAGTAATTAGGTCGGTTAATTTTGAGACGCAGAGGTGTTAAAACGCAAAATAAGTATAAAAGAATAGGTCGAAATAAGTTTTTATCATTATAGGATAGAGTAAAATAGAAAATAGTTCATTGCATTTACCAAAACATATAAGAAAGAAATAAACAACACATTTATTTACAGTACAATGGGCAGTCTAAAACTAATACTAACGACAAATGTACATCGTAATACACGAATAGATAAACTCTTCTAAAACGCTTAGTATCATCGCCTTTGAAGAGCTTGGAACATGGACATATTTGTCAGAGTTTGGAATTTGGAAAATTAGATTTTATAATACTTCGATGAGCACGAAGTTTTAAGATTTGTAGTTTAAAGGAACAAGATGAAAGTGGTCGCAATTTGTCCTTCTCTCACAAAGTACATTCTGCTTTCCACTTGACGGCTAAATTTTAGGTTTAATGAAAGAAAAAAAAACATAATCGATTTTATGAAATTGTAATCAGGTGTTTAATTCGTTATGCAATTAAGCGTTGAATTAATTTAGTTTGGAGACTTAACAACTATGGTCAATATCCCCGTTATGAGGCAATCTATGGTGTAATAAATATATAAATCCTATAGTCAGCAGTGGAATTTGTTAGGCTGTAATTATTATGATCATATTCCAAAAAATAAAAATATTATTCACACAAAAGTGAAAATAACTCTAGTGTTTCCATTATAACTTCGTAACAACGAAAATTCATGAACCGCGTAAGCGTACAGGCATGCAACTTTATTTAATGCGGCTAAATTAATGTACTTTCTACTCTCCTCAAAACTTTCCCATCAAAACTTTTTATTCTACTCTCTATTTTATGTATTTTTTTTTAAATAGAATTCATGGTCTTACTAACAATATTATTTATGGTTAATTCAGTTGCGGTGGTGTAGGAGAATCCACTACCCCATATCATCCCGTGGGTATCATAAGAGGCGACAGATGAAATTGAAACAGGATAGGTGTGGGCAGTAGCATCTTCTGGATAAGAACTCAAAATAATAAAAAAACATCCATCCATCAGCGGACCACCAGACGCTCGGCTGGTCTCTCCCACTTTACAGAGAATTTGGGAATGGAATTATGTTGAGGGATTTTTTTTGCGCCCAGATGCAATGGAAAGGCCTACCCTCCGGAAAGCGACTCCATTAACTTTCACTTGTGTTTTAAAAAAAACAAGTGAAAGTTAATGGATAATCACAAATGATAACTCTGTTCTGAATAGTAATATGGAAAGAGAAAAATTGCTTATGACCCAAAATCCATCTGGTGTAAAATGTGACATAGTTAATAAGTGTCAAATGTTCCTAAAAGCTGAAGATGGAGGAGCAGATGCTAAATTGAATGTTTCTGATAATGTTTCTTCAATAAATGAAGGAGAGCAAGATATTGGGATGTCTACCCATAGTCAAACTAATAAAGAATCTTCTGGGAAAGAAATGGAAGATTCTAAGGAAAGCAATGCTGATGGGAATGAGGAAATGCCTAGTACTGTTACAGTTTTGGATACTCCTGATGGAGGCAAAGTATATTTAGTAGGGACAGCACATTTTAGTATTAAATCTCAAGAAGATGTTTCTAGGGTTATACAAGAAGTGTTGTGTGAACAGAGAACAAATATCCTACTTTTAGATGAAGAGAGTATTTTAAGAGAGGCCAAGAATATAAACTTCAAAAATATAAGGGCAACTATGGCTCAGAATGGAGTATTCAACGGTTTAATGTATATATTACTATTAAATATGTCAGCACACATTACTCGTGAGTTAGGTATGGCTCCTGGAGGAGAGTTTCGCCGAGCTATGGCAGAGGCCAAAAAGATTCCTAATTGTATTGTGAAACTTGGTGACAGAGCGATCGACATTACATTACATAGAGCTATAGCATCTCTATCTTGGGGACAGACAATACGATTTATATGGCATCTTCTTACATCTAACAAAAGTATTAGTGTGGAAGAAGTTGAGAAATGCAAAATGAAGAAAATGTTGGACAATATGCTGGAAGAAATGGCGGAGGAATTTCCAGCTCTTAAGCGCGTATTTGTTGTAGAGCGTGACATGTATCTCTGTCATTCACTCCAAATAGCTGCTTTATAGCCTCGTAATGAAGCATGTCGAATAGTTGGTGTTGTGGGCATTGGCCATGTGGCCGGCATCGTGGAACATTAGGGGCAAGGTCACACCGCAAGATATAACTCCCTTACTTGTTATCCCCCTTCCCTCGCTGTCCACGCGCATTATCCGCGTGTCGGTGCGCGTGGCGTGCGCGGGCGCACTCGTGTACGCGGCGTACAAGTTCTTCCCGCGGCGTTGGCTGCCCTGATGACACACACACCTTTCTTTCTCAAACTGGTTCACTGAATGGCTTGTGGACCTTCTCGTCTTGTTATATAATAATAACCTTATTATTTTTTATGATAATGTCTTTACTTAAAGTCGCATTTGACAGTGGTAGAGCCACGCGGCAGCTTTTGCTGTCGCACGGATGGGCCGGCTCGAACCGGGGTGGTACCACGACCTCACAGAAAACCAGCGTGAAGTAGAGGTTTACCTCTGCGTTTCGCTTGGTGAGTGCAGGTGGCCGGATGCCCTTTTTACTGGAAATGAGGCATTCCATCTTAGTCCTCACGGGTGACAACGTATCTACATTTTGATTTGTAATAGAGGATAGATGTGGATGTCTATGGGCCGCAGCAACCACTTACCGTCAGGTGGACTGTGTGCTCGATTGTCACACTTATCCTATAAAAAAAAAGCGAGGAAGGGAGGTGGTGAATGCTCTAAGCATACCACGACAGCCGGCTGTCGTGGTTATGTGGGACTCACTGCGACTAACCTATAATCTAAGTGCCTACCCACTAAACACCACCTGTGAGACTGGCATTGGCTTTTGTAGCCCTTCTGCCGAATCGGAAGCGACCCTCTTTAGGGAAAAGGGGGCGCAGGTAGCGGCGGGCTGCTGAGGGAGAGCCTAATTAAGGCAAATTAAGGGCGGGGAGAAGATTCGGCCTGAGCCGCCGGGACCGGGTTTAGGTCAGCCGAAAGCTTGTTTGGGATTGAGGGATCGAAAGATTTGGTTTAAATAGTGTAGAAAGCTAGGAGGTGGGGGTAAAGATAAGGGAACAACATTGTTGTTGACATACTACGCGTTCGAACCAAACGATTTGTTTCGCCGTTTATAATGCGTGCAATAAGGATGGGATGGGATGTATCTGTATTTTCGACCAATTATAATGTGGGCGTCTTCAAGGCAAGAGTAAATAGGTTTTTGCTAAGCAAAGTCAGTGTGATTTACCATCTTGGCTGCTTCATTACCATTAGTTGGGATAGTAATCAAGCACTGGCTTATGGTAGTAAAAAAATTTGCGATTACCAGTCCCACTGCTAGGTCCGTGATACTATCGCGCAAGTCCATACACACATACGTATATACTACAGTGAATTACTTTAGACTGATTAAAAAGAAGACAAAAGAACATTTTGTGTGCGCTAATATACCTTGAAAACGATACTTATAATTTAAAATTAAAAATTTCGTACAACCGACTTCAATATAAAATTATTAAAAATTTAAAAAACTATTGTTCAGACCTTGATCAAACGTATATGAGACCACATGACAAGCACCAGCTTTCAAATAAATAAAAGAATCATTGAAATCGCTTCACCCAGAAAAAAGTTATGAGGTAACACACATAAAAATATACAGTCGAATTCTTTTTAAAGTTTGTAGAAAATTGTACGCTTTTAAGTATTATATGAAGTTTATATCATAAAAGTACTATTATTATCGTATCAAGAACAGACATTCCAACACTGACAAGGGTTGCCAAATTACATGCATGCCAGGGATACGCAATGATACCCCACAGTTGTGTGATCTTTCTACACAATCATTTCTCATTAGCTTTTACTCGCATATTTCTTGGTGTGAAATTTATGAGTACGACGTGGTATATATTAAGATGTTTTTTAGCAAGTGTTTTTCTTTGTTACTTCGTATTAGACCATTGCTGAAAATGGATATTTCCTATTGTAGTATTAGTTTGTTATAATCTCAACACTTGGTAAACGAATAGGCAAACGCAGTACCAGGTATCTTACCTCTAAGACGCCATTCAAAATAGCTTGTCCGTATGAATTATTTCTGTCTTAAACAATATGGTCACCTAAATAATATATATATATATATATATATGGATAACTTGATATAGTTGACACACAAACATATCTCGGACTAGTTATTGACAGTAAATTTTATTGGAGCCAGCATATTGACTAGCCGATATCACTTCACTATCCTCAATAATCGCATTCCATTTAAAATAAAGTTAATGTACGTTCGGAGTCGCACGTTCATAAGAACCTTCTCAGCGAGCCGCGTGCTACCAATACGTACACCGTACAGTGAGCGAATATGTAGCTACTTAATACCTCAGCTTATCAATAACTTGCCATCAGAATCGGTGGATAATGTCACCAAAAATAACATTACTCGTAACTGTAAGCTAAAGGATCATATTCTTAAGTTATGATAACGGGTTTTCACATATTGTTTTTCTGATTATTTGCATGTTTTTTTTACGTGGTAGAACCATTCCGCAGCTATATTACTGGTATAGTTGTAGCACGAATGGGTCGGCTCCACCGGGGAAGCACCACGCTCTTACAGAATACCAGCGTAAAATAGCAGCTTAACGCTGCTCTATTTCATATGGTGAGTGTATACCGTACACCCTTTTTACTGGATATGAGGCATTCCATCTTAGTCCTCACGGGTGACGACGCATCTGCATTTTTATTCTATATTGAGGATAAATGTAGATGTCTATGGGTCACAGCAACCACTTACCATCAGGTGGACTGTGTGCTCGTTTGTCACCCTTATTCCATAATTTTTTTTTCCTTTTTATAGTATCTATAATAGAATATTACGCTATATTATCTTATAAAATTGTAAACTCTTGATAGCTAAGTAAAATAAACTTTAGTGGTTTCTTAATTGCTATCACTACAAATAATATTTTAATGCTTGTTTATGTGATAAATAAATGAAAAAAGATATTTTCATGAACCAATAATGACGTCATAGAGTAGTCTAAAAAGCTGCATTAGTCACACATAAAAAAAGTATAATATAAACTCATAAACGGACATTTCACATTTTACATAGAGTGACGTGCTTATTATTTACACATTATAACAAATTAAATCCACTTAAATTTATACAACACAAATATTGTTTTTCTCGTATTTTCTTATGATTCCATCATGAATTCGATCAAATAGTCAACAAATATGAGAACACCGGTTGATTTAAAACTCTTTTAAAAAAAATCTTTATACATACTGTAGCATAAATAATTTTGTATTTATTGACGGAGTAACCTCACACAAACTAATTGATAATTAAAAGAAAAACTTTAGGAAGACAGTGCCTCGTAGCATAAAAATAGTCAATCAAATTAGAAATCAAGCAAAGTAAGATCAAAAAATTTAATAGTATTTTTTTATTTTGTTATAGCATCACATTGGTTCATAAAACTGTAATGTTTTGATAACTACTAATAAAAAAATAAATAAAATATAATATATTTTATGTCCGACAAGTTAAATAATATCTTTAATCACTATAATATATTGGCCTCAGTTCATTCAGACTTCAACTTCATTCATCCATCCATTACAGCCTATAAAAGTCCACTACTGAACGTAGACCTCTCTCATAGACCTCTAGATCTCTCGTATACCTCTTATGAGTTCACATTGCCATATTTGCTACGTTTGGCAGGTGGGTTGGCAACCGCAGTTTTTTATTATTTTGATTTTCCTGTTTGAGTTTCCAAACGCAATACATAAAGACAAATATTTGAACATGATAATGAAAATAAACTAAACAGAGAGTACCAACAAAACCGGATTGTATTCCAACTTCGTGTTTTATAAAGTAAAATGTTGTGAACTGAAAGTTACAGTTTTCTGAAAACAACAAAATGTATAAATTACGTTTTGGTAATTTAATAATAGAAAACTTTACGATTCTTATTTACATAAAAGGATAATTATTCACCTTTTGGGATGAAATCCTAAGAAAATATTATGATATAATGTATTCGTAGTATCCTGTTACCCTGTTACCCAGAGGGCTAGGCAAAGATTACAGACTTCCATTTGGCACGATACTGTCACTTCTGGCTTCTTACACATCCATAATATATCTGCGCATACATGCTTGTTGGTTAAGGATACTGTTAATTTGGTCCATCTTCAATAACGGGCAAATATCTCCCTTATGAGGCAATCTATGTTCGGCAAAATCAGGTGGACTGTGTGCTCGCTTGTCACCCTTATCCTATAAACAGTGACACTTTTATGTGGGTCTCTCCCACCGTGAGGAGAATTTGCTGTATTAAATACCTGGAACCTTTGACGCTGCTTCTTGTTGCCGGCTTATAATATATCTATATAGATAGATAGATCAGTATTGGAGACCGTGAAATTTTTTTGTACTTTTTTAATAGAATAAGGGTGACAAACGAGCACACAGTCCACCTGATGGTAAGTGGTTGCTGTGGCCCATATACATCTACATCTATCCTCGATTACGAATCAAAAAGCTGATGCGTCGTCACCCGTGAGGACTAAGATGGAATGCCTCGTTTTCAGTAAAAAGGACTCTTCCCTTAATCGTCAATAATTACTCTTGGAAATAAGAATTAGTGGCTTTTTACGCCGCCCACAGATAGCGATCACGTAGCCCATACAATTATTATTATGAACTCCATTATTGTTACTTGTTTACTGTTGATTTAATTCGAGGGGTGATATGGCGACCGCACAATAGCGTTGAAGCCTAAATATCAGAAGTATTGGAGGTTTGGAGTGCAGTTAATTTTCCTTGTAAATAGTGAACAAACAGTAATAGTATAATCTACTCCAGATTGAACATAAATGTATGCCAACGTTCAGTTGCTTCATTTTTATTTCGCTCCAATTTTAATAAAATGCTTTCGTGATATTTTTGGGTATGCGATAAGTGAGCATTGTTGTAAGTGTGAAAGAAGTCTGTTGCAACGAAAATGTTCTCATTATAATGC